GATCGGCCTGGCAAAGAGGAGGTGCAGTAGGGCGGAGTTTCCAACGCTTCTGGTGGGTGCAGGGCATAACGAAGCATCCACTGGAACTGGATGTTTCTAGTCACTAGTCTACTTGTCCAACTGAAGGATTACATCCGCAATTGTGGGGGCCAATGCACAAAAGGATCTCCATGATAATTACGTTAGATTGCACCAATCCCATCCCACTCTGTAAAACATATTCTTTCCTCAAGTGAAGTGCTCACCCTCAGTCAATTCGTGAGGTTGCTTTGCAACAATCAAGGGGTTATACCCCATGCAGCGTTGAAAGAGTGCTGAAGCGCACATAATTAGTGTTCCCCCCGCCAACCGGCAGCTATTTGGAAACTGGATCTGGAACTCCTGCCCCCCACCTGCCAACCACAAAGCTGCTTGGAACTGGATCGGAACTGGACGATATTCCCCCTGGCCCCCACCTGCCACAAGCTGCTTGGAACTGGACCACCGGGGTACTCTGGAAGTGCAAGGTCACAGACAGCCCCTGCTGCACCGGCACCCGCTTTGAGGTATGGCCGGCAGCGCACGAAGGCGGCACAGGTGGCACTCCTGCAACGGCTTTGGCCACCTGACCGGCGACATGGGAAGGCGACGTTGCCGTTGATGGCGGATGGTGGGGCACGGGGGCCGGCATAATGGGGTCGGGTGGTGAGCTAGCCAGGTGCTAGTACAGAAAAGAGTGGGTTGGGTTTATGTATATAGAATTATGAATATAGATATATACATATGTAGAAGTCCTCAAATCGTTAAGGAGCATCTAGGTGTCTATAGACATGTATATATATATATATATGGTGTTTGGAGAGAGGGGGCACAACACCATGGAGGCTGTGAATTCATGACTGTTAGTCCAGTAAATCCTGTGCCAAGAGGGAGGTGTTTACAGGCCTATGTAAGTGTTTGCCTTGAATTGCAGGATTTGGGTTGTGCTTTTTCCCGGTGGAATCCACAAACACCCTGCTTGGACTGAAAATGAACAATTGTTTCGAAGTAGGCATCATTGGCATATCCACCAAAAATGATGTTGCACCAAAGCCTCCGCACGCAGAAATATTGCTTTGCTTGTCAATTTGATGCCCAGGAACGACATCTGAGGGAATCCCGCAAGCATTGTCGAGTTCACAGAATCACTCAGCCAAATTAAAGCAAGGATGATCATTTGGTTTCACAGCCAGCGTTGAACTCGAACTCGCCAGGGATTGGTCTTGTGCACTGCCCACTTGCGTGCCTCTGCAGACGAAGGCTTTCGTGGCTTGGGCTGTGTGGATTTCGTAGACGAGGGCTGTGGAACTTGAGCAAACGCACCAGAAAACACATTTTTGCGGACGCGTTTGACCACATCGAATAATGATGTCAACAACCAGTTTGCCATATATTCGGCGGGTTCCCGGGTGCAACCGATTTTACTGTTTGCCAAGCCTCAATTTCGCAACACTGCGTCCCCTATTCTATCCAAGAATATAGTTGCTCATTAGAGACCTGCAACCTAACCGACTCACCCAGAAAGCTATACAATAATTTTGGGATGTTCTGGGATTGCTTGGGAATTGCACTATTGAGCATAGCCAAGGCAACCACTTTGGTCCATATCTTCCACCATCATCCACCTAGATCGATTTACACCCACCGCATCGGCACGGCGTGCAAACACACACGCTCACACATAATGAACAGCTGAGAACAGCTGAGGGGGCCATATTGAACAGCAATCAGTGAGTTTCTTCCCTCACTTTGGCATCACAACATCCACTTCTTTTGGACCTTTGGCCCGCCGTTCCCTCATTCTGACTCTGGCCCCGATTGATGACTCTGACTCGCGGAGACCCCTGTCACAGATTGAAGGAATTTTTCCTTGATCATCCCTTCACCCCGCAAAAAGACCAGGCAATGCTTCAATTTCCACGAGACTCGTCATTGTTGCGTGTTTGCCAGGTGGACCCACTGAACAAGAATTTTTCGCTCAGGAAGTCAAGAGCAGCCCTTGAACCATGACTTTGAAGTGTCAATTTGCACAGCGAAACTCGCATGAGGAATGCAACAAGCATCCGAGCTGGTCACCGCCGTCACAGACTTTGCCCGACAAGACGAGCAGATCATTCTAGCGGATGTGACACCTGGCACCACCTGGACAGGAGAGAGATATGGAAAGGTAGAGGCAGATGAGGCAGGGTGGTGCCAGTGAATTGGCACCTCAAAAGGGCAAGAAACCAGTCATTTGCCACATGTTCTTGGCGAGCCGCAGCTATTTACCTTCCAAGGGTGATTCTATAGTTGGATTGGTTGAGTGTAAAGAAGGTTTTGGTTGTGGCCGGTTTCCTGAAATCGTCGGGGCAAGCTGCTTGAGGTCGTTTGGAAGTTTAGAGCCGGATTGGATTGGGAAAACGACCGTTTGGAGGCATTGAACGAAACATTTAGATCACAATAGATCACAGAAAACAACCAAGTCAAAGGTGTCCAAGGCCATCGTCTCTATGGAAAAAAACGGGAGGTTGGAGTTCCAGCAACTGGGCCACCAAGGAATAGCAACTCCACTGAAGGGGAGCAGCGTTTCACGGATGCAAGCACCTTTGGATAGACTTGAGATGGGACGAACCCTGGACCATGTGAAAACATGTGGAATCTGACAACATGTTGGGCTGACAGGGCCTCCCAGCTGGCAAGCCCAAATGAGCCAATAAAGACGACCATCCTGGTTCTTGGGAAATGGCCTTGCAACAACCACAAACGCGCGCATGTCATCAGGTAAAGTAGGGGTACTTAGTCATCAGGTTGGAATGACAGTTCGCATGCAGTTTGCCTGGATTACTCTCTGACTCACTAACATGGAAGTGGAAAATGACCCCTCGGAAGACTATTTTCCTTTACAAACAGGAGGTTTTCCACTTCCATGTTAGTGAGTCGGAGTGTAGTTTGTTTTTGGTATCCTTCCTTGGTTGTCTATCATTCTTTCGTTCCTTGTGCCCGCAGCTCACGCTAGCGTCTACTGGCGTATGTCTAGCCACGCGTATGTCTTGACCCGCGTGGCAGACGGAGCTTCCATTTGGCTGATTTCCTCCACCGTTTTAAACAAAATTGCTGGAAGAAGAACAATCATGAAGAAAGCGCAGGTGCAACAACAACAACTCCACAAGAGAAACACAGACACATGTCACATATGAAACAAGAACTCCAAATTTACGAACGCAAAACATGCAAAAGCGGCAAAACTATCCCAAACGCAAGAAACATTAAAGACAAGTGAGAAGAAACATAACAAGCCCAACGCATCAAAAGACAACTGAAAGATAACAATCAACATAATAAGTCCTAACTGGAAGGTACCAAAAAGACAGCGCCTTTTTCGGCCCGGTCCCTTATCCAGTAGCTGCAGCTGTTAGAGTTTAAATCGATCGAAAGCTACCGGTAGGAGTTCATATCCAGTCAGTGGATAACCGGATGACACCCCGCTAAACAAGAACAGGTAGAAAAAGGTTATCCCTTGAGTCAGATTTGTTCCTTTTCCTTTCCTTAGCAGAAAGCCTGGCCTTTCCTTTGGTTTTCTTTAGAATCCTTTTGAAATGGGATCAGCACTTTTCATTTCTTGGCAGCTCTTGGTACTTAGCTGCAGCCTTCGTTTTGGATTTGTTTCCGTTGCTTGATGATGTGCTGTTGTTGTCTAATTTGTCCTCAGACATTTCAGTGTTGGCCTGGGTCTGGAGATCATATCATTTGCCATGTTGGGCTTCTTGGAAGCGTGCACGAGCTCACATGCCGTTAATGAAGTTCATCAATATGATCTTCTTAAGTTAGCCAGTCAGCTGCCCCTCCGAGGCACCGTTTACGCATACTTCAAAGCCTGTGGCTTTCGATGCGCTTATCAAACCATTGCCGATCAACATGGTTTTCAAGGCAGCTTTCCCGCCTATACCACTTGGGCAGGTTGGGCTTCTGGTGACTACATGGCCACTTGCGACCATATCTTCATTTCCAAGGGAATCGAAGTGTCTTCCGTTCTTTGGCAGTGATTGGTAGTATTACGTCTTCGGACTGGGCCCCGAGAGTCCGGTGATCTGACCATCGAACATCGAGTCTCCCAAAAAAAGACTGGTCTTCCAAGAGAGGTTAAGTGACCTTATAGGACCCTACTGGGGTACCTATGGGATAGCCTATAGGGTCATTCAACCTCTGTTGGTTCCCAGATTCTGGAGAAGGGATTTGAGGGCCCAACCGCTGGAAAAGTGCTGCGGGTGGTGCTGCGGGCTCATGCTCACACCGCGGGGGGGGAAGCGTTCGCTTTTAATGGGTTTCGCTGGTTTTGGCGACATCAGGTGCTCAATGTCCCGGAGGTGGAAGACGTGAAAGCCTTCCCCGAACGCTTACCTTCTGAAGCATATCCATCAGATCACATGAGCTTGGTCGCCGACCTGCTCGTGCCCTGAAGGGCAAAGCGTGCTCCAGCGGGATGACCGAGCGACTGACGGCGACGTGCGGCGACGTGCGGCTGCGCGGAGAAAGGAGCCCGGAGCGAGTCTTCAGCTGACTGGAAGAAGGGTGGCTTGAAAGTGATGGAGATGGCTTAGTTACCTGTTACCATGATTCACTGGTGAACCCTACGCTCTAAGATGAACGCCTGATGCGCTGCTGGGTGAGACCCATGCTGAGAGGCGAGAGCACCAGCGGTTGGTGACTGCGCAAGGACTGGATGATGATGATGCAGGATCCACTATACTGGTGCCGCGAGTTTGGAAGTGCTGCAAAAAGGCGTGCTTGCTAAGTTCAGGAACCTTATCATTTATTAAGACTTTTGGAACTATATGCACTTCATATGTTTCAATTTTCTCAAATGATATACGTATAGTAATGATATGATTTGAGTTGTCGGACTGGCTGAAGTCTATGAACGATCAGGAGCAATCTACTAGTCTTGCTCGGTCCTTGTGACGCTCTCAGCGGTTTTCTTGATCCTCGAGTGATCCTCAACTGAGGCTTTGGCTTGTGCGGGCCTTGCGTTGAGCTGAACTTGGTGCATCGAAGTCATGCGCAGGCCAGTTCTCTGGGGCAGATATATACTGGTGAAACTGGTGAAACCCATGTGAAACCCAGTTCCGCCGCAGCCCGCGGCCCGCATTTCACCGACCCCCCATCACATGGATATGTTCAATGGATGCTCACTCGTACAGCTCTTTTACAGCTCGGCAGTGATGACATGGTTTTGCCACTATATATATATATGCAGTTGCAGATGGCTGCATCGCTCACTGTGACAGCTTGGCCCCACATGAATCTCGGGTCGCGCCATGGTCCACCCGAAAGTCAATGACTTCTCGATTAAAAAACTCAATCTTCCATCCAGTGAGCGTTTCAATATTTGTTTCAAAGAGTTCCACCGTTTTCTCAGACATGGGCAACTGAAGCCCCAGGTCGAGCTCATGGAGTCCTTGCTTTTTGGCTGCAGAACTAGCCTTCTCCGTATCGAGCAGGTAGATGCCCGGGGCATGTGCTGTTCGTGCAACGCTTTTCGTGCCACGTTTTGGACTCGGACCTCTTCTCTCAAGGCTGATGCCGAAATCGGCCGAACATGGCAGACTGCACCGGGGAATTTCTATACCGTCCCATGTCATGATGACACCACAATGGCGTGGCATGGGAGTTCGAAGCCCCATACCCATAATGCAAACGTCGTATTAATCAACGGCCCCCCCCCCCTAGAAGGTCAACAAGCTCAACAAGGTCTGAGATTGGAGGTTTTGGAGATCACATCCCCCCAATAGTGGGGATGACCTGATGATGAAAGGGAATTAGTATTTGGAAGAATTGGACTGAAATGGAATTAGTATTTGGAAGAATTGGAATGAAAGGGAATTAGTATTTGG